ATTCACGATTTCTAATATTTGTACAGGCTTTACATTTTTATTTCAATGTAATAATTAGCAATTAATTTAATTTTATATTTGAACAGATTTGTAACGTGACAGCATTAATTAAAGTTTCTTAAGGGTCAGGATCATGTTATCTGCATCTCCTGCGCTACATCAAGCCACTCCCATAATAGCGGTCATCACTCAAATTAATGCACGACTCTACATTATCTGTATAGCATGTGTGTACGACTCTAATACAATTATGAAGTAATCATTTTATGACTAATAAATCTCTCAGTGAGTAAAACTAGCTGTGTCTATAGTATTAAAGACTACACAAAATTATTATATTATCTTTAAAATAATTTTTTAATTATTATTATTTTAAATTATTGTCCCTGGATTAGTAGGGTACTCTTGTAATAAAGCAGCGTTGGTAACGGACAGATTTTAATGATCAATTCTTCTTAAAAAGATGCCATCTAATCCTGTTTACATGAAGCTTACGGACCTGTTGCTATGACAGCAACTCCAGGATCAGCTTCGAAGAACCAAATTATCCAAGATCATGCCAAATCGTCAACAATCAAATCCAGCTAACTGAGTTAGCGACGTACGAAGAACGGGCCCATGGTCTCCAACATCTGAGTTGCCTAATTACGGTCATGTGATCCTCAATAACTTCCATCTCTTCAGTTCAGAGCTAAATCTTGCTCCTGAGATCAGAACAGCAAACCAGATATCTACTTGAGCAACAGAAGAGCACATGAGCTTACCGGTAAATGGGTAAGAGGCACGTCAACCTGCCCGAGGAAGTCATCTCTGGTCTGTATAAGAAATAGAAACAACAAGAGAGGCCGAGAAGAAATTAAAATAACAGAAACAGTAGTAATGTAGAGATTTGGCTTTGAAACAGTGACTGACTTTAGCAGGACTTGGCAAGGAAAACCACAAAGATGAGGATAAATACACACCTGCATAACCCAAGAAGAATAAATGAATGTGTATGTATGAGAAAGAGAGAGAAAGGAGGAAATACAGTAATAAGGGCAGTGTTAATTTCCAAAGTGTCACTTAAAATGGGAAAATCCTGACAACCAACCCAGTGAGGAGCAGCAGATGGGCAATGAGTGAGGGTCAAAGGTCAAAGTCAGAAGGAGTGTATTAATGTATGAACCGCCAATCACAAGCCTTCATTCCACCCACCAATTCCAATAAGCCAAATTGTGAGATTGTCAGCTGTGATTGTCAGGTGTTTGGGTCGTGGTAGACCAGTAGATTACCTGACCATGGTTGAAATGCTCATTCTTGGACCGATCATGACCAATGTGTGCCTGTGTGTGGAATAAACTTATTAAGACAACAAGGACGAGTACATACTCCCAGTTAGGGTTACACAATGTTTAGGGCACTGAATGTAAATGAACCACCATGAAAATGCTTCATATTGAAAATGACATTAATGCAACACTGTTAAATTAATTTAAATACATGCAGGTGTAGTTAACAGGAACCACATTTGGAACAATATTGTCTGATTCAAACAATGATACACTCTGGCAGCAGGAAACCAATCCTAAGGCTTTAGAAAAACAGCCCAAAAACACTCTTGATAGGCATAGCTGTTCGCAGAATAGAATAGAATAGAATAGAATAATAAAATAAAATAATCCTTCTCAAACCCAGTTAGTGAGCACCAGAACAGCAGAATGAGTGGACAACAAAGCTCATTTATTGTGGAAAGGTTAAGTATGAGTCACTATTTGTGGTGGCGAGTCAACGACAGGGCCACAAATACATTCTCAAGCCCCTATTCATCGCAGAAAACCCACCGCGTCCGAGCCATTCCTCTGATTAAATGTTAAGCATTTCTGAGCCAAATGGGGTCACAGCCTCCAAACCACCAACAACAGTTGTGAATCACAAACAGAAGCAAAATTAAGCCATTATTTAACCAAAAAGTATGAAGGAATGACCTAGAAAGCTCAAAAAGCTAGTTGAGTCTTAAAGGTCACACTGTAGAAGAATTATGTCCATTGTGTCTTGGCAAACAGTCCTGTCACTAAGGAAACTATTTTCCTATCCTTCTGCAATAAAAGTGATGCTCTGAAGAAGTGAAAATTATTTAACTGATGTCTTTTAACTTCAAAGCGACTTAGAGACGATTAAGATATCATGTCTTTATGACCCTAAAAGCCCTGTTCCCACAACAAGTGTTAAAAATAAAATGTTTGCTTAGTCATCGTCCATTACAAAGCTGAGTTAACAGACGACTCTAGCCATTAAAGAGGCTGAAAAGTGCAGAAACAGAGAAAGCAAGACAGCAGGGAAGTGAGAACCAAGAGGCCATGTTTAAAGAGACATAAACACAAAAAGGGGAAAAAAAGTGTTTAAATAAACCAAACAACAGATCAAATGGAGGGAAACAAGAAAAAAGGAGCCCATTACTTTAAGCCATAGGTCACACAGCTAAGGACCGTAAAGTTTAGGGTCAGGGGTTATGACAACAGGACCTGAGAAGAAACTTCCGACAACTGATCCGCAACACGCAGAGATGATAAAATAAGACTGGAGCCCCTACAAATTCAGCAGCAGGGTTCCTGTCTGAGTGACAACAGCGAAGTACCACAGCAATAGGAAATGCTGACAGAGCTTGACTCTTTCATTAAACCTCATTTTAACTCTCTCAAACTCTTCTTCTCTTACTTATGAGCAGACACAGACTTTTTAAAGCTTTAAATCCTGAGTTCTGCAAGAAAGCTGCCACAGCAGACTTAAGTGAGATATTCCCCCACCACGCTTGCAAAAACTTGTGAGACAGCAAACAGTCACATGTATTAACCTGAGAGCGCTGGCTGGTCTACAGGAAACCCATGCACCCCGCAAGGGACAAATGCAATAAATAAGTGAAATTTCATAGTTATGTGAAAGCTATTGCAATTGGTAAAAAACATCTTATTAAAAAGAAGCACTGATGCAGAACTGTATTTTAAGAGTGGATAATCTTTGTAAACAAGGACTTTTCAGGTTATGATGTATTACAAGCCTTATCTTTAGATAAGATACATCAACAAATACATGCTTGAGGCATTCAAAAGAGCAGTCTTGACAGCGAGAAGTAAACAGATCTGTGTGAGAGAGTTTCACTTCAGATGATGAACTCTGCTGCTGGAACATTCAGCTGCTTGACTGACTCATTTCCAGTAAAGCCTTTTGAGCAGGTACTGGAAATATATATGCTGCTGTTAGTTGCCTCGGAAATTGGGAAGGTATGTGTGTGACATTCCTGATTGCAGAATAGGAAGATTCTAGAATGTGGACGTCTCAGAGATTCCGGACCTTCCGTTTGCAAGTACACCATCTGTGAAACTGAAGTCCTGCTTTCCACATTCCATCAGAAAGATGCTGTTATGCCTTCTGCACATGATGAGTACTAGTTTGAGTACTAGTAATGGTTGGTGACAAACTGATGAATGTCACACACTTACAGTGTGTCAGGACCACACTGATGAATTGGTTTCTAAGATGAACAGGAATGAATCACTGAAGGGACTTTCAAAGCCAGTAAACTCAATGGTAACCTGAAGGGAATGACAAATTACATGTGGCAAAAAAAAAAAACAGGAGGACCGTTGGAAAAAGCAAATGCTTAAGACGTGAGAAACTCAAACAAAGCCTTGAGCTTAATAGAACCATGATGCATGAAGATTTTCTACATTTGAGCAATAATACTTTTTAAAAAAAAATTTTAAGTTACTGATACCAAGAACAGCATTATGTGAAACTATATATTAGACCTTAATCACCACAGATCAGCTGTTGCAAGAGATGAACAGCGACCCAGGCCAAAGGAGAAAAGCCACTTTCAAAACCAACAACATCACTTGACACGGGACTAAAGATAGAACAGGCTCCTCTTTAAGAGAATGGTGGGGGGGGGGATACAAGTGGACAAGCCCCCATGAATGAAGTTACGCCTGAAAATGCTTCTGGCTTCTATATATTTTCCACTTCTTGAATATCAAACTGAGTATAAGAGTTTGTATGCTTGTTGGGAAACTAAAGACGGTGCGGTTACGTCTTGCTCTTGGCCCCCATTTTCGTGGAATTTTCACTTCCCAGAATGTGGGTAAGTAATTCCTCAACCCACCTCCTTTTTCCTCCACCAAAATCCTGCTACCTCTTCTTTCATCTGTTTTTCCCATTCTCCAGCCACTTACAAACTATTAAAACACACTTTGAGAGGTATACACCCTACAGCACACTTTGTGTAACTAAACAATGGCTTGTTAATAAAGCAAGCCTGAAATGTAAAAAATAAATAAATGATGTGCTTCATTTTCAGCTCAACTTTAGACCCTCTGCTGTAATTACCTGTGGATTGCTGCAGGTAGGCACCTTTCCAAAGCTAATATCCCGTGCAAAGATGGGGCTGTGCTCACCTCCATGGCTGAAATAGATCTTAAACTTGGGCTGTCTGGAGTTCTGCTCCTTCCTAATTTTGAATGTGCAACCTTGAGCACCACTCTCAACAATCTCACTCTCGGTCTTCATTTCTGAGATCGGGGCATGAAGATTTGGCATAGATCCAAGCCGTGAAGGAGCTCCTCTGGGCTGCATCGGCTGTGAGGTGCTCCTCTCAAGTTGGATCTGAGGGTACCGCACCAAGGGGTTGCCTTTAATATGTGTGATGCCCAAATCACTCACATCAGCCTGAGAAGTAGGGCAAGGGTGCCATCCTTGGTCCTGTTGAAGTTGGAATACAAGTCTTTGTGTTCCAGGACCTCTGTCTGAGCTTTGCTGGACAGACCAACGGTGGCCATTCTGGCCATTCTCGCTGTATGGCATGATCCTGAACCTCTGGACATCCAAGCCATCTGCGGATCTTCTTTGAATACAAAAGCCTCCAATGGTAATCCCTTGATTACTGGGTACACCCAAACTAGCATTACCATTTTGTCCATCACATGGTCGGATGCAAAAGACTTGCCTCTTAGGCTGGATGGGCTCAGTACCTGGTTGACATTGATCCACATTTTGGCAGGACGGGGTTTCTCCTATGTGGTAAGCTGGAGGTGGAGGTAAGAGCCAGCTTTCACCAGGCTCAGTGTATGGGGGAGCTGGCTCTTCAGGGTACCCTGGAGGTGGATCAAAGGGCAATGCATCCTCTTCAGGTGCAGTTGTGCGTTGGAGAGATATCTGGACAGAGGTGCTCTTGGTCGTCCGTGGTTCAGTTTGACCCTGGAGCTGGGGGATGAACATGGAAGAGCTTCGCTTTAGAGAGGCATCCGAACAAGCACCCAATTCTGGGCTCTCAGAAAGTCCTTCGTTTTGTATCCGTGTATGGAACATCGTGGCCCCTGTGCCACTGTAGCCACTCTCATCTCCGTCCTCCACTGTCCCATTCAGCTGCTCCAACTCTGGTGCAGTGTTACTGCGACCCGATCCAAAATACAACCGAAGTCGGTGAGACATTCTCCTGTCTACCTTGATCTGTCTCTGTCCAGCTCTTGCTGGATCTGTCTCACCCACTGTTTAGTGTGTCTGATCCCCTTTTGCTCTCCCTCTCTCTGTCTTGCTCATCCACCCTCTTTCCTCTCTCTCTCTTTCCCTTACTCACAGACAGAGGCTGCGTTTCATTTCACAGCTACCAGTGAAGCACTGCCAGGGAGCTTAAAAGTTCAACCCACAAACTTCAAGGAGAGAGAGAGAGAGAGCGCGTAAGTAAAAGCTGAAAAGAACGGGAGAGATGGGGAAATAAAAAAAAAAACTATCCCATGTGTCAAAGTGTTTGAGTTGAAGTCTGATAGCGACAGACAGCAGAAATAGCCCAAGTGGCAAGCTGCATTCCAGCCATGATTGGATAAGGACGCCTGGTGCTCTTGCAAGCTAAGGTGAGGGTAGGGTGGCCAAAGTCACATGATCCAGATGGCACCCACCCCCACTTCCCGGTTAGACCCAAACAGCACTCTCTCAGCTGCTACAGATCTGTCAGAAGGAACTAGACTGCCGGGGGGTGGGATGAGAGAGAGAGGGATCACAGCTGACTCAGGAAACACTCTCCACAAGCTCATAATTCTTTGTGCTCATCCCACACCCTGGGCCAAGCCAAGTTGGGACATGGTGTTACCCACATCTCAAGCTGGTAAAATAAGTATTTAGAATTACTTACTGCCAAAAATATCAGACAAAACTAAAACAAGTCACACAAAACATCATCACTCAGACCTGTATGGGTAAGCAGAAGTATTAGAGGTTTACCACTATCGTTAGAGACGTTTTCTAAGAAATACACAGGAAATGTCCATTTACTGGAAAAACACTAGAGCTTTTCATGTTTGGGCCTCTGTATAGACATGCAATATTTCCCATCAAGCTTCTTAAGGGCTGGTTGAAATGTTCCGTCTCCATTTTTTTTTTTTAAATACTCAAGGGAAGTTTTAAACCACAAAACAGTCACTCTCTTTCAACACAGTAACAATGAATCAGGATGCAGCCTAGGGGCCATTTCATAAGTAGAGAGAAATAAAATCTTCAATCATGACCACTCCTAAAACAAAAGCAACAAAGCAATTTACTTTACTTTGCACAACTTATCTTAACTCGTGGGTAATTTGAAAAAAATTATTATAATTGTGTTTTCCTCAAAATGACTGCAAATATGATCAATCACTGATGACTGACAGCCACATTTATAATGTATAAGCCACAAGTCTGTGCTAAATGCTTCATAAAATCTGTTTGGGGTGAATAACGGTAAGTTTTTGTGCTGGCATTTGCTTTTGCTCCACAAACACAATCCACAAAATCTGAATGTTTAGATCAGTATACGGAACCCTCTGCCAACAGACATGCAAATATAATAATCGATTTGAAGCAGACTGCTGACAGGCTGAACAAGTTACTAAGGCCAATGTGAAAATCCAGAGAGATGACCCTGCACTGTGCATATTCAAACTCAAAGAGAGCTTTGTCTAAGTGAGAAAGACTGCATGTATATCACTAATGGAATAAAGGCCAACATCAGAATATTATATTAAAGGGGTCATATGATGCTGCTAAAAAGAACATTATTTTGTGTATTTGGTGTAATGAAATGTGTTTATGAGGTTTAAGGTTAAAAAAACACATTCTTTTCCACACTGTACATTATTGTTTCTCCTCTATGCCCCGCCTTTCTGAAACACGTCGATTTTTACAAAGCTCATCGGTCTGAAAAAGCGAGGTGTGCTGTGATTGGCCAGCTATCCAGTGCGTTGTGATTGGCCGAATACCTCAAGCATGTGACGGAAATGTTATGCCCCTCACCATATTGTGATGATGCCCTGTCAGGCCGGAGCTATGATTCAAAAACATGAAAACCCATTATAAACGAGGCATTCGTTGCATCCAGTGGGGACATAATTATGGATTACAATGACTTATACTGTCTTTTTACACGTTGTGTTGCATCGCGCTGCGTAAACATCAAACCATGTCAGCATTTTTGATCGGAGAAATGACAAACAACAAGCCCTACTTTACACTGCCCAGTTAGAACGAGCCGTTTTAGGTAGGCGTGGCTGACTCTTAACTTTTATAAAGAATATCTCTTTGGATTTGAGACTTTAGTCTTTGCAACTTTACAGATCTTTTTTATGCACCAAGAGCTTGTAACACTCCAAAGAGAAAGGAAAAATTGAAATCGCTTCATATGACCCCTTTAAAGAACTCATATTAAACGATTTTTTAACAATAATAAAAAATAAACAGAACAATTTGTAACACCGAGTTGCGCTCTACCAGAGCAATATTCTGAAGTCTCAGTTTTGTTTGCTTGTTTCATCATCTACTAGCCAGAAATCATAAGTACGATCGCTTCATGATGTAAATGTATCAATTCAAAGTATGGATTGCTATCAAAGGTAAATTTGATTTTATGAAGTAAAATTGACCACAAATGAGTAGCGACACCATTTAGAGAGCGCCTGTGCAGCAACACGAGCCCGACATAAACCGTGAAGTCAGTGCAGTGTCTTATTGGATGGAGTGAGTGAGACAGACTCCAACTCAAAGAAAAGCCTTGATTGTGAGAGTGTGGGCGCTCTCTAAAGGGGGTATTGTTTTGGAGGTCACACATGCCCAGCAGTGGGTGAGCTGCGAACAAAGACCGGAGACATCATGGCGTAAGAATTAGTTTCACAGCACCAGGCATTCTGGGAATTACGACAGAGGGCTTCCACAGTGCTACCTACACATACGACGACTTCACATATTATTTACTCAGCTAATATAAAGAACATTTCTTAAAAACCGACATTAAATAACAAGCCTAAATAGCAAACATTTGGCTGAATGATGGCAAATGGGTGATTTGAACTGGCCTGTTTTCAAGAAACACATTCGCTCACCCACACAACTCTGGAGTTGTTATGTGTCGCCATGACAGCGGTTTTCAGAAGGATCCACAAAAATTGCTATAAACTGTTGTGCGTGACCATCGATCCACATCTTAACTTTAAAAAGAAGCAATTATCTTGTCTGTCTTGCATGGACCATAGTAAAATAGGCACTAATCAGTAGTGGAACTTGTGTGTGAGAGTTCATTACAGCAAGCTGTTAAGCAATCCGAAGATACTAAATGCTTTGTACAAAAGAAAGTAGAATGATACAGGCACTCTCAAAGCAGGAGAGAGGGTAAGAAAAGGAGAAACAGGAAAAGAAAGAAAAGGTTATGGATGACAAGACACAGGGAAGAAAATAAAGAGATAAGAGAGGGATGGAAATAGACTGAGAGAGCATGTACGCGAGAGAGCGTGAAAATCATTAATTAAATCTGTGTCCAGTCAGTGGGGCACCATCCATGCGCTCCCTCAGACTTATAAGGAAGACGCTCAGTTTCTGCTCAGCCCTGCACTGAAACTCTGCCAAATCCCATCACACAGGAGAGCCAATAACCTTTTCCCTGTGGACTGCAACAACTCATGCATCGCAGATTTACTGCAGTGCCTGGTCACAAACTGAATGCTATACTTACTGAGATTAACTGACAGTCATCAGCTCTACTTCAGATCCCAATCTGCAAAATGCACTCAGTGGTTCTCAAATGGTTTTGCTTCAGGCCTCAGATTCTACATTGGACATCATTACATTACCAAATCTATGTATCTAAGGAAAATATACGAAAATGTGCATCCATTATAAAAAAAAGTTAGAGGAATGTCTCCTTTTTGAAAGTTGATAAGTGTTGTTATTTGCATTTATAATTTCCCCCCTGCTTTACACAATCTATTATTGTAACCTATTTGTGGGTTGCAACCCACCAGTTGAGAACCACTGTTTAAAAAGATGCAGTTGCACTGTAAACAGCTAATGATGACTTAAATAACACGCATGACTGTAGTTTGCAAAACATTAGCATTTAGTATAGACCATAGGCACTAATCAGTAGTGGAACTTGTGTGTGAGAGTTCATTACAGCAAGCTGTTAAGCAATCCGAAGATACTAAATGCTTTGTACAAAAGAAAGTAGAATGATACAGGCACTCTCAAAGCAGGAGAGAGGGTAAGAAAAGGAGAAACAGGAAAAGAAAGAAAAGGTTATGGATGACAAGACACAGGGAAGAAAATAAAGAGATAAGAGAGGGATGGAAATAGACTGAGAGAGCATGTACGCGAGAGAGCGTGAAAATCATTAATTAAATCTGTGTCCAGTCAGTGGGACACCATCCATGCGCTCCCTCAGACTTATAAGGAAGACGCTCAGTTTCTGCTCAGCCCTGCACTGAAACTCTGCCAAATCCCATCACACAGGAGAGCCAATAACCTTTTCCCTGTGGACTGCAACAACTCATGCATCGCAGATTTACTGCAGTGCCTGGTCACAAACTGAATGCTATACTTACTGAGATTAACTGACAGTCATCAGCTCTACTTCAGATCCCAATCTGCAAAATGCACTCAGTGGTTCTCAAATGGTTTTGCTTCAGGCCTCAGATTCTACATTGGACATCATTACATTACCAAATCTATGTATCTAAGGAAAATATACGAAAATGTGCATCCATTATAAAAAAAAGTTAGAGGAATGTCTCCTTTTTGAAAGTTGATAAGTGTTGTTATTTGCATTTATAATTTCCCCCCTGCTTTACACAATCTATTATTGTAACCTATTTGTGGGTTGCAACCCACCAGTTGAGAACCACTGTTTAAAAAGATGCAGTTGCACTGTAAACAGCTAATGATGACTTAAATAACACGCATGACTGTAGTTTGCAAAACATTAGCATTTAGTATAGACCATATTTGGGGGTTTATGTTAAATTCAGACAACTGACTTGAGGGACGACTCTCTGCACAATAAACAGGATGCAAATTGGGCCCCAAAACTAAGTAACGGTTTAACTGCAGTCAGTCTGATTGATATAAATGAACTCTAAACTAGTTCTCACATCATCCCCCCATTAGAAACGCAAATGGTTTTGTACTAGAGCAGAATGTACCATAGGTACTGCATACCAAGCAAAGCAACTGAGCATTGTTGCCATGGGGACACTGATGAATGTTTTAGCACTGACATTAGTTGCATAACAGTGAAATGTCTTTTATTGTCTCAATTAAATCATTTAATAATTTACCAATCAGTGCCTGTCAAAAAACTAAATCTACAATGGGCCTTCTGGGCCGGAAAATAATAAAAATTTCTCCGCAGTCATTTTTCAGACTGCTCTAATGATTCTTTCGCAGGAACAGTTGAGAGGTGCAAGCTATTTTCAGACAAAAAACACAAGCTGAAACTAAGAAAGCTCTGTATCACTGACAGAAATTACAAAAAAAGTGTCAAGAAAAATGTTAATTATATGGCTATATTATATTCAATATCAAAATGTAAAGCAAAAATTGCTCAATTTAGTATTTTATCCATTTGTAAGCGTCTTGTATTTTTAAAGTGTTGTGTTGTTACCTTAGCAACATTCTTGCTAGTTGCAAGTGCAAGTTGTTGCCCATGTGAAGTGTCCCAAATAAGTCAATTTCGATGTTCTATGACAGTTATGGTACACGTAAACTATCCGTGGAGATAGGTGAGTGTTTTCAATTCTCAAAATCAGTGTGGGGGATTGTGGGATTGAAAGCAGGGAGAAAGTAGTG